AGTAATATTTTCCTTCAGAATCATAAATAACTAACAACTGGACGCATTACGGAGATCTTGAATGCTACAAAATAAGATAAATATCTAAATTAAAATTATAAAAGAGAAAAGAATGCGTGAAATAACTAATAACGAAATGAGAATACAAACAAAATATTTGGCAAAATGAGAATGACAACTTGAAATAATTTTGGAGTTGACATACATTATTCTGAAATGAAAAATATAGGAATAATAAAGAAAGTAAATTAAATAAAATTCTTAATAAATATGTACATAAATGAGTTAATTAATAATTAATTTATTAATGCAGAGATGATAACTGACTTTCCAATACTTAAGGGGCTCCGAGACCGGTAAAGCAAACCAGCATGGGCGAGGAGCAAGCTTTGTTCTGCTTTTTAAAAGTTATCTGATATCAATAAGGAGGGAAGAAAGGTTGTTTTCTAAAAAATGTGCGTTAGTTGGTATAATAATGGAAGTTCTGACAAAACGTGCGGGAAAAGGGATTAATCTGTATTTAAATTTACTTCCAATTCATAAAATTTTGAAATCATAATCACAATTGAATCCTTTTGTTCCAAAAAATGTCTGGCAGAGAGTGATTATATTTAATTGGCTGTCCGGGTGACGCCACGTCCATAGCAAAGGTGCCTACGTTTCGGTCGCCATTCTGTGACCTTCCGCATTACACCCTGAGCCATTTCTCAGGGCCTAATGAGGGAGGTCGCAGAATATTTGAAAGTGTATTTTCGATTTTTTGTTGGTATGCCTACACTGTACCTAAAAAATTAATTGAATGTAAATTATCTTATTTTTAGCAATGAAGATAGGAGTAGTGCGTCCTAGATAACTTTGAGAGAAATGGAACTACCATGACAAAACTAAGACTGATGCCTCATTTTCTATCGTTGATAATAATGTCATAAACCCCGCACTCCAACTATTATAAAGTAATTAAGTTATAAGTTACCAAAAAATAAATACCTCAAACAGCTGTGTTTGAATATAAATATGAATATAGGACTTACACTTCAGAGAAACGTCACACTGAAGACGGTTCTATCACTTACATCCATAACAGAATCATCACATAATAAAACAATTTAATTTAAGTATTTGAATCAACATTTAAATAATGTGGTATATTTATAGGAAATATAATAATATAACGAGTTAAATTTGCGGAAACAGTTTGATGTAAAATCTTCGAGGCTAACACTTCATTTTTAATAGTGCGGGAATTGCACTAGGTATTCGGGAATCTCTCCAGAGTGTTCACACTACTTCAACAAGTTCTGGGCCCGTCTGTAGCCGAAGTGCGCTGTGGGGAGAGTAGTTTATGCGATACCAATATGGGACGGCGGTGATCTTAATGATCGCATGAGTGCAGGGGTAGGCGTTTCCAGACACCTCGTTTGCAGCGAAACACGAAAAGCGCGCGAATTTTCCGCTCGCGTGCAACCACCTGCCACCCGCTCTCGCCCACGCGGCCACGCGGCATTTGGGAGCCGGGACGCGGCGGGGTCAGACAGAAGGGTCGTGTCTCCCCGCCCCTCCCATCCTCTTCCCGCAACACTGACCACACACCCACCCTGCCCCTCCCGTTCCTCTCGACGCCCACCAGCCCATGCGCAGGGTCGGGGGCGCCTCGCCCTCCCAACTCCCTACCACCCCGCCCTCCCCGCCCCCACACCGATTTGACCCGCTCCACCCCGCCAACTCGTCCGTTCCTCTCGACCCACCTACATGTCGCACCCCACCCCACCCACCCGTACGTCCCGTTTTGTCCACCCCGCTGACCGATTCCGTGCCCCGCCCACTCGCCCCAGTGCAATCTCGTTAGGCGATGGCGCTCCGGCCAGGCGCAAGGATTAACAATCAGCCCCGTAACGAGAGAGATCGCTGCATTAGATAGTCGATTTATGAATACGCCGAGGATAAAGTGCGGTTGTCGAAACATATAGTAGTGCGGAATAAAGAGATCATTAATAATATTACGTTATTTGTACGCGCGAGCGGCGGTGGGCGTGCGTCAGTTGCGCCAGCCAGCGCCAGCCGCGCCGTCCGCGCCATTTGGCGTCGCGCGCGCGATGTATGCAGTAGTTCCGACAGGCACTTTCCGTGCCCCCGGGCGCGGAGGGCGCCGAGGACAACAAATTGCCCCCCGCATCGATCGGGCCCCGTTTGACCCGCGGTCGCGCAATTGCGTATTTTCCTGGCGTCGCCCCTGCGATGGAGCGGGGTAGACAAATAGCGGAGTACGGGCTTCGGTGGTGGTGGTGATGATGATGATGATTATGACTGGTTTTGATGATTATGACTATGACGGCAGCCCTTTGACGAACTGGTCTCCAGCGCACATTAGTATGATGTACTGGTGTTTCGAAATAAAGTAACACGTTCAATGGAGGGATTTCCTTCCGGTTGCGTGACCGCGCTTATTCTTATTGAATTTTATTCTGTCCCCGTGAAGAACGACACCTAAATTTGAAACTGTAGAAAACAATAGTATATTCTAATTTCAGGCGAATCATTTCCCCACCTGAAGATTCCATTTGCAATATAAATAAAAATTACTAAGGATACAATTGAGTGTGTAATACAATTAAGGAATCATTTTGTACTTTAATATTGCAATCAATTTATTACTTAAAATATAAGAGTTAACCCTACCAATTCTAAGGAATAAAAGTGCTGTGCGCTCCGAGCTCACCGCATATGTTTTGACTTTATTCGTGCTTTTGACGATTTAGTTAAATTAATAGATTGATATATGTTTATTAAATATATTTATTAGTTTAAGGCATTCATCATTATTCAATATCTGTCTTAAAAGGACAAAATATCAATTTTCTTGCAACAATGTATTTAATGACAAAACCTATTATATTTTAATGTCAAATAAAAGACTGCGTTCCTTCCTAACATGGTAATGTATGGGACAATTACACACTCAGACTTCAAATACTACAACACCTCACAAATGTATTCTCAATGTTATATTTTTGAGTGTACAGTCCTTAATGTTTTTATCCACATTCAAAGCGGCTGTGATAATTCAAATTATAACAGACACGTTTGAAAATTGCATCACATTTTGGGCAAAAATCACATCAACCACATACATGATTAGGGGCAATGTTAGTGTTAAAGATTAAGAAAGGATGTTCATGATTATAGAGAACAACAATTAAAGAATTGTCTTCTGAAGTCATATATTAATTCTGTCTAAGTGATATTAATAGCATTCACATGTTTTGATTATAATTGTAGTTCTTCAAAAATTATGAATATTTTAAAAATCAACACGGTTTTTATATCCAGAAGTAAATCAGAACCAAGCTTCAATGGGTTAATTAAAATTCAGTGAGGTTTCTGGGAGCTCAAAGTTCGGGAAAACTTGTAATGAAGTGAAGACTTTGAAGCATAAGGTTTTAATATTTCTTGATTTTTAAAAGAATTGGGAAACACATTTCAGTTGTCTCGTACGTTCTGCAACGAAACAAAATAGAATGTACCCCTTGCGTTATTCAAGTATTACTGACAAAGTGTAACATTTATGTTCCATTTTGGGGACTCCAGAGAATTAAAATTTAATATTCCTGTGAACCCGACGACAAATGTTTGCAATTAAACCGAACGCAAACCATTGTCGTGCTATTATATTAAAGCTGTTGCCTCGCTGTAAAACATTTTACCCACGCGCCCGCATAAATATTTCGCTATTAGTCTTTTGTGGATCAAACGACCCGAATCCTTAGAAAAATATTAAACAAGTAATATTTTTGAAATTATTAAATATACTCATATAATATGAATATTGTGTGAAGTCAGAACACAGAATATTGAAGCTGCAGTTCACAACCTCAATGTACAATTCATGTACATGAGGTTCCTCGAATTTAATTTATTGATACAAAGGGTAATACCAGCAACTGCCGTCTTGTGGTGTCATCTACCTACTTTTCAAATGTCTTTTACGATGCCCTTTTTATGACACCTCTCTCGTCCAGTTTGTTTTTTGTAGAATACCAGGTTATTCGCAATTATGCCAGCAAAAAGGAAATGAAAACAGCGTGAAACGATGCTTAAGGTTAAGAAGTGTATTTGTTATTACGCACCTGGAAAAAACATGTTACAACTTATAAAAGCGTCTTATATGCAAGATATTTATAAACATTCTTTATCAATAAACAATACCTATCGTTCAATTAGAACCTTACAACTGTGACCAGATGGTGAAATGTAAAATTGTAACTGTCGTAGAGGCCCTTAGCTCCTACCGGTTGTTGTAAGAGTTGACAGTCTAGATAGTTCAAATTGATTAATTGATTATTTAGAGTTCCCGTGCACGTGAAATCATGTGATGAATAGTAGCATAAGTGTAGTGCTTGTTATATCATGAAAAGTAGCGACGTTCCCTTCTGGGTGGAGAAACCCAGCGCCGACCTACACATGGTCTAGCGGGCGAGATCTCCACCAGAGTTCTCTCCAAGGGACCTCTTCAGTCCTTGACTAGATGTAGCTTCCTGGCTAGTCACCCGACGTAAGCTCCGATTTAAGCACAGTGGTGCTTCAAGGTCACGAGCAGGAAGGAGAGGGGGACATTGTCGTCCAATCGGGAGCTCCAAAACCAAACATTTAAGTCGTAACGAAGCTTACGATTGGATGACTGTATGCCCCCTCTCCGTTCAGCTTGTGACCTTGAAGTGCCAATATGTTTAAATCGGAGCATACTGTAGTGCGTGCGTGTGTGTGCGTGTGCATGTAAGGCGAGAGGACGAGATAAGGACGAGGAAAGGAAGGTCGCGCATATGCTGGTGTGGTGGCTGGTACTGGTGGGAGAGATGGCAATTAAGGCGGCCAGCCGTGAGCGCTGGGCGCGATCGTGGCGCCTGCGGCGGTGCGCGTCCGCCCATCCAATCACGGCGCGCCGACAGCCACTCGGCGAGCGAGCGTGGGCGGGCGGGCAGGTGGCAGACCACACATTAGCTAAGTGGCCCCCGGGCGGGCGGCTGTGCCCGCAGGTCGGCCGGGCCCCGCGGAGTTCCTGAGCGCGCCCTTCAGCCCCGCCGCCGACAGCTACAACCTCACCTGGGTGGTGGAGAGCTACCCGCCGCTCGAGGAGGTGCGCCTGCTCTACCGACGCCTGCTGGTGAGTGCTCTGCTCCTTAACGGACGCTTCCTCGCGAAAGGGTCCGTTTCGTTTGCGGTGACCGCTTAGTTCACTTGTACTTATTATGCCGATTCGCCAATATTTATGGAAAATCACAACACCGAAATGATTCGGTTTGTGCTTGGATTGAGGGATTACACTAAATACTACGTAGACAATACAGGACACTTTGAACATTTCTCATATTTTAAAGGGAGACAACTGCTCACTAGCGAACCTAGTGACGTGACCTGCAAAATCGGCGACTAATTCAAATTTCAATCCATATAGAATAACCTTCCAATCCCTCTGCGAATCGTAAGTAAACATAATCGTAAGTAAATTAAAAATATTTATTATTATAAAAAAAAACTTATTCAGTTCTTACTTGATATCTCAATGGTTATGTCAGGTCGGGCCACTAGGGTCGCTTGCTTTACGTCTCTCGCGTTATATCGCCGAGTGTCCTGTATCGTCTATAGTATTTTGTTACACAGTCGGCAGGGAGTACTGTGAGCCACGAAAGTCTCTCCGCTGGGGCACTACGCTGGTGAGAGTGCTACCAACAGAAATTATGTTGGTATCACGAATTATAGCTCGTAACAAAAGAAAACGTAAGTTGCGTACTCATCAACAATCATAACAGATGCTGAAAGTGCTGTCCTCTTCACTTGTTGCACAGAGATCTGGTTGCCACCAACATACATGAAATTTGTAATAGGAGGTTCTGACTCGGTTCATTGTGAAGAGACTTTACTGGCGTACTATGTCACCAGCTCACCGCTTGCCTGCGCGTCAGAACTGTGTTGTATCTGAAAACAGAACAAGGCTGTAGTTTCAAGTGACAAACCACTTGTAAAATTATATATTTATTTAGTTTTCAATAACTTTCAGCTTGTTTCTAGAGTTTACTCTTGATATATAAACCACATGTGACCCCAACCAGCATTGAAAAAATTCAATACTGGTTTTAATGTTGCGCAACAGACTATTCCCATTGAATTTTAGTCCTTTTGTACTGGGCATTGTTTTTATATGAACATGAAAATTATTATTTCGAATCTGAGCAGGAATGAGATGTGCATTGTTACGACTTTTAAATGTTTGAACTAGCAATATGCAAAGGAAATGAAAAAAACCGTCAAGGAATTACAGAAATTGATATTAGAGTTTTCGAGATTGGTCATCAAGAAATCTTACTTGTAAATATTAAGAATGAGGTCTCGCAATTATGATTTCAGTTCTTTTACACGCAAACGTCTAGTGGTGCTTACATATCTGGGTAATACGATATTTCAGATCTTCAGGTGATTTTCTTTTAGCAATTAATTTCCTGTGATTATGAAAGAACAAGCGTCTCTCTAAGAAGTCCCATCCACCTATTACTTTAATAAATAGAACTGTATTGTACAATTACTTTCGGCGAAAACCAAATAACTCTTAAATATTATATGGTTTCCCAAATTATTGAAGGTTTCGGCATTAAAACATACATTTAGGTTAGTAAAGTTCCCCAAGATTCTCCAATTCTCAGAAAAGGGCAAGAGATGATGGAGAAAGTAAAGTGTTTCTCGCTTACGGGATCTATCTCTCTGCACGTTTGCAGGGCAGCAGATGAACACTAAAAATCCGTTTACCATCTGATAATCAGCAAAATTCACGAAAGCTGCTATCGAAGATAAAAAACGGTATTTGGTAAGGAAGGGCAAAACTGACGTGGGCTGATGGTGGTGGAACACGCGTCGGAAGCACGCTTTAGGGGGAGGGCGGTGCTCGGAGGGTAGAGGTAGGGACCATGGGGGGCCAGTTAGGCGCAGAGGCGTGATCCGAGTTAGGCGCAGGGGCCGCAGCAAGGGCAAGAGGCCGGAAATGGGTGCAAACGAATATCAGATGGAGGCGTTGGGGGGAGGGGGAAGGGTGCGAAGATCGTCGCAGAAGACGGGGACGGAGAAGGGGCAAGAGCCGGGATAGGGATGGGACGGCGTGGGGTGTGGACGTAGGAATGGTGATGCGAATGGGGACCGAGGGGGGATGGGGCGGGTAAAAGGACCGAGACATGTGCTGGAATGGAGACGAGCAGTGCCGAGGATGGTGACATTGCGGGGAGAAGGGCCGGGATTCGGATGGGGCATGGGCGTTGGCAGGGCACGCGAGGGTTGCGTCTCCGCGACGTTTGCCCGAGTGTGAGCGCAACCCCTCGGCAAACGTTCCGCGCTCTGAGCCCAGGCCGTCGGAGCCTTCGCCTTCTCGGAAGGCCTTTCCGCTCCAGGCGGCGGCGCTCTCAGTCAGGGACGACGACCAACAGAGGTGCGTGCGCGAGTGAAGGTTGGAACGACACAAGACCGCGACACAAGACACAAGAGTGAGCGAGGAGGCACACACGGAAGAGCGACCAATGTCTACGATCAGAGACAGGCTAGAAAGAGTGAGAATCAAGTTGAGAAGATAGGGTCTGATTTGTGCCTCAGATAGAGAACGAAATGGAGTAATCAGCGATTCAAGAACGGAACTGGATTTTATGAAGTCTTGGAGCAGCAGAAAAATGAAATGAGAGTTGAGGGCGCTGGTAACGCGCCCAGGACGTGTGCCGGCCTAAAGTGATGTAGAGCGTCCAATACGAAAAGCATCGCAAGTCAAGGAGGCTTTGAAATTGTTCTTTATTGAGGAGAATGTACACAGATCGTGGCTGACAAACGTAACCGAAAGCGCAAGTCAGAATCTGGGATTGGAGAGTTGGCTGAGCAGAATGGCGGGAAGCGGGGAGGATGGCGAGGGTAGGCGACTGCAAGGGAATCCGCAGCACGCAGACCGCTGATGTTAAAAAAGGAAGCGGAGTGACTCGGATGGGAAGAGGCGCGGGCTATGAGGGAGAAGAGAGGTGTGGTTGGAGAGGGATATGAAATGTGAGGATGAAGCAAGAGGCAAACAAAGAGCCGTACTGCGATAGGAGGGGAGGTAACATTGAGGCAAGAGGGATGGGAGAGGAACGGGAAGGGAAGAGTGTAGGTAAGGAGGTGGGTATGAGGTCGAGAGGATGCAATGGAAGAAGGATGGCGAGGATCACAAATATAACACAGCTGGTCTCGTAGTTCAGAGATTGGCAGCGCGAAAAGGCCATTGAAAAGTGGAAAGAAATCGTGTTGGGGATAGTGATGCAGCATCAACCAAACTCCATCGATGTTTTTAGATGTCTATGTTTTAAAGTTGGTTTAGTAACCTCTAATATTAAATGCGTGCGCAACAAAATTTAACTTGTCAGTGACATATCTTAATTTATTATTTAAATTTAACTGAAAAACAAATTATACAACGTCTCTCCATGTGAGAAATACAGGAAAGACGAAAGAAATACCAGGCGAACAGGATCATTTCGAGCAAGGGATGGTAGTCTTCGTGATTAAAACCGCTTTCTTTTTTTTATCGAATACAAACAGATATTGGTACCATCAGTTATTGTTTCTTTTTCTACACTTTAACAAAATAGGGTTTGGGGTATCTTTTATTCACAAACAAAACATTGAAAACGTAAAAACATCGAACCCAAAACCTCGGTTTTCAAAAATCTTTGGATTCAATACATCGATGTTGAAAACATCCATATTTGTATAGAAACATCGATGTTTTGCAAACATCGACATCGATGTCGCATCCTTAGTTGGAGGGTGGGAGGAATGGTGCGTGGAGATCAGGAAGAAGGTATACCAGGAAGGACAATGGTGTGGCAAAGGGGGGAGGAGAAGTGGAGAGCATAGATACGGAGTAGGATATGAATTTTGAAGGGAGCAAAAAGTGAGAAATGACGGGGTCCGCGAAGTCTACCCGGCTGGGCTGGTGATTCAAAGGTCGGAGGTCGGAAAGGACAGTGGAGGGTGGAAAGAGGGCGGAAAGGGAATGCCGCGGGGGAGGAGGGGTAGTCGGGAGCGCCGAGGAGCTCTACCTTGGATTAAGAGCTCTTCCGCACGGAGTCCGAGGTCGCAGTAGCGAAGAAAGGCCACTGCGTTACGCGGATCGCGAGCCCCGTATAATTGTGGGAACACTTTTCATCTTGCTGGCGATGCAATGTGGAAATGCACAATGCAAGTGTTATGTACAGAACTATATGGTGCAAGACGTACGATTAATTGTATTATAGCTACGAGGAAAAGATCGGATGATTTTGCTAGTGAGTGTTTTGTGAATAGCATGATAAGTAATTTTATTACAAATCGATTTCAAAATACCAGGAAAATTATTTAAACACCTAATAAAACAATCTCTGACACTAGCATTTTGCTTTTAGTTCTGTATTATTTTTTGTAATATATATTTTAAATACCCTTTGCACAATTACATACTGCAGGAATGTTTGGGTTAGAACTTCTTTCTATTAGCCTTTTGACATTTGCTCCTCTCTTCCAGGATCCTCTGTGAAGTAACGGCTTCCATGAGATCTTAAATGCTTTCTGTAAATGGGATTTTTTCCAATATTTAGTATTAATAACGCTTTTAAATATTAAGGTGCTCATTTGGAAAGGGATGAGTGGACTTAAGGATCGCACTGATTATAACATAGCTACATCAAAATCGTCAAGTTTGTTGGGATTTAAGCCCAGGTCCCTCAGATAAGCAAACGCGTGTCCTAACCTCTATATAACCCCGACCCTTAGCATATTAGTAGAATATTTCTCTGCCACACTTTCATTTACTCTTTTTTGGGTTTGTCAAATGTCCTGTACAGACAATAAGTACGTATAAGAAGACTACGGAAGTATGGAGATGAAGACTATTCACTTCGCAGTAAGGACGAACTTACATCGTCAGAATTAATGCACGCGTTTTCAAAAGAAGAATGTGACTTCAGATTAATGCGAAATCTATATTACCAATATATTTTCATCAGAAATAGTAACACAATCGATATATGCTTACCAAGACTAACCTTTTCACTCTTTCTTGAATTTTTTATCGCTCTCAAATGTAACGTAAGCATATTTCATACTGAAAAATCAATAACAACACAGAATTCTACGATTAATTACTCTTACTATTGATCACAGGAAGAGTTTTAGAAGCAATTATTAGACACTTAAAGTGTGGATCACTACAGGAAAACCTTAGATAAAAATGTTGATTGATTTATGTCATGTTTAAAACGCGTTGCCTTAAATTGTAAAAAATGAATTTTTAACACTCTATTTGACGTTTACTTATTTACAGTTTATATGAAACATATCTAAATAAATTTATATTTGTTCTCCATGACTGTGCTATAGGGTGTGTACGTATTTTCTATAGTACTCTTGTAGTCTTTTTCTCTGAACTGAAACCCTCGTCTCGTTTAAACGGAACATGAACTGGACGTGTTAATTAACTGGGCGTGAGAAATGTCATATGTTGGTTTGCCTGTGGGAAATAATTAATAAGCTGTGCTGGTAATGTTTGTGGTCAAGTACCATGTCTACTTTGTAGTAGAGTACATAACTCGCAAGTGATCATTCATCCGAAAAATTACAACATAGTTGAATAAAATGACAAACACAATACGAAGGGAATATGTTACGTAATTATCAATTATGAAGGGCGTACTAAATTGTTAAATTTAAGTTATAAATAAAAATAGTATCTAAATTTTATAATTCAAGTGCTACCTATGACTGTGGGAAGAATCCATTGATGGACTGGATTGCATTCAAATAGATCAGGCAGTGTTTTCCTCTAGAGAGAAGTCTTATTAGTACGATTACCTGTCGTTACGGGAGCAAACTAGTCAAATTAATATGAGTTGCTTGCGCATATTTTTCTAGAAATGCATCACTAAATTCGCTGTATCATCTTCAGCTGCAGCAGAGCCATTGTATACAACTTTCAATAATGATTTGCATAGAAATATTTAAGAAAAGTATTGATAACACATACATTTTATTCTAGCCATGCCTAATCAGCAGGTTGACATTGGAAAATTAGGAAAGATAAACATTTGGAATACATATTAGGAACTTATATTAAGAACTAAAGCATTTTGCAACAGAGCACACAACTTAAAAACACTTTTTTTTATTTACGTGATTTCGCTCACAACCTTTAGTTTGCATATTCTAAATCCCTACCATTTTCCCTTGAAAATTACCTTACAGAACTCTGAAGGTGGTCTAGTAATGCCACGCCATTTATTGGGTGAACCTTTCCCATTAATGCACTGGTCAAAACCATCACTGTTTCTAGTCTCCTCGATATCTCTATCGCGATATCATTTCCGCCATTTCCAACAACAAATTAACCGCCGCTAATATTCGGTTTTCTCCCTACTACCGGCATCAGTAAAACCAGTATCGCTAAAACCACTATCACTATCTCCACCACCAACATCACCATCACGAGTATCGCTAAAACCACTATCACCATCTCCACCACCAACATCACCATCACAATTACCATCACTATCTCTTCCATCACCATGCGTCCGGAATCACTATCTCGCTATCTACATCATATTAGTTAATGTTGGTGCAGGCGATAGCTGCCAATTTGAATTAACGTATCTCAACTGTTTAGAAATGACCCGAATGTCTAATCTTTCTCCGAATTGTGTCACTATGTTTTACCAACACCATCAGCTTTAGGCTGAACGTAACATCGCTGCCATCATGTTTGCTATCTCTTTTTACCTCCTTCACCTAGTCTTCCACCTGTTCTCTTCCAGTTCCTTAACTTGTTCCTCCTTCCTCCAAGATCTCCTTTCTCCACGTCATTCTCCCCATTATCTTCCTTTTCCTTCCATCGCGTCCATTTTTACGTCCACCTCCGCCTCCGCCTCCACCTCCGCCTCCACCTCCTCTCCACTTCACCTCACCTTCACCTCCACCTCCACCTCCACCTCACCTCCCACCTCCAACCTCCCACGCTCGCCGCCCCCAGCTCTTTTGGGGCTGTTGATCGGGCGACTGGCGGCGGTCGCTGCGACAGCGCTGAAAGCGGCTGCCCGCCCCCTGCCCCCGCCCATCCAGGCCTTCATGGCCTTTGAGGCGCAAAGCGCCCGGCAGCGGAAGCAAACGGCGATTCCCAGGAATCTCCATGGCGCCGGAAAAGATTCGTCGAAGATGTAGCTTTTTCAAATATATTAATTTACATTCAACTCATTTCCAGGCACACAGCTTATTATTAGGATTTGTATGCGACAAGGGGGAAAGATACATGAAAATGCAGGAGCCAAAACAAATGGACCATCCAGATGTCTCAGAAATCTGTAATGAATAATATTTGAATTTTTCTTTAACATAGCTCTTAAAAATTGTTGTAACTGCTTTAAAAGTTTGATATTTTGTCGGTTACTAATGATTTAATTACATTTGATTGTAATAAAACGATTGACATTAAAACATTTAAAACTAATACATAACAGAATACTTGTATAGAAACCGAGTGGGAAATTATATAACTTAAAATTGCTTATTATTATGTGCCGATTCTGTAATTTGAGGAACATAATTATGAAAGATGAAGCTTTGCATGCAGTTGCACTCTAATTATGTTTGCAATGTTGCAATTGCACTGGAATGTAAAAAAGGTAAAGGTAAGAAAGTATTATTGTGTCTGTTCTCTTATTACATCTTGAAGAAAATAAGGCTAAATATGACATCGGCTGTCCTTGTGTTATCAAACAAATTAAATAACGATAAGCTAAAGTCGCTCCAGCCCCATTTCCTCTACATCTTTTGCGCGATTTGAGTAACGCCCTCGCCCCCGCTTGAGGTTTCACCCTCGTCGCCTCTCGGCCGTGGGCGCACGCCCCCGCCCCCGCC